TCTCTTGATTTATAATTTCATACCTCATACGGTTTAATGAAACCGGTATGAAGGTACTAAGACTATTTTTTGGCTACCAGAATGCTGGCAGACAATAACATTAATCGGGATTTTATAGAGTTGGGATCGAACGAATATCAGCTTTTGGTCCTTCAAAAATGTTCTATGAAAGTTATGGTTTTTTTTCACAAGCTGTCAACTTTTTCGTTACTGACTAATCTACTGTGAACATGTATCCAAAGAAATATTCCTTTATTCCTATATAATCAATTCTGATATTAGATTTTTGTGATTTCTTACCAACTTGAATTCAGTGGTTGAAATTAAAGGTATATTGCAGCTGTTTGAATTTCAAAATATAAAAATTCTGGCATTTTTCTTTGCCTTATTAGGCATTCTATTGCATAAATTTCAATAACCTGCGTTTTTGCGTTGAAAAATTATAAAAACGTTCCACATGTCAATGATTAGATTGAATCAAGAGATATAGACGTTAGAGTGACTTCGTCTGATTTAAGTTTTAATCTATCGGTAAACTTAGCACATGCATTGAGCTGATATATGAAGTGCCCGTTCTTGCATTTACCTATTTTGGATAGTATTGTGTTAAGCTGTATGGAAAAAGTAAGATTATCCCTGACGACTTCATAATTCTGAAGATATTCCATAAACCCACCTTCCGTGTTAAAGAGTATGTTTGAAAGCTGGTAACTCTGCTCATTCCTCTATAACTATATATAAAGAGGTGTCCTCTCTATTTTTTAGTCAGTGAGTTTTGAGCATTAATTCGCTTGATTTTTAATCACCTTAAGATAGCTTTTTTAATTATGCTTTGATATTAAAACTTATTTTCCAGCTGTTATTAGAAAGACTATGTGTGTATGTAGCATTAGAGATGAGGCAGACGCAGTAATACCTAGTAGGTAATGCTTTTTTGACATGATCAATATAAATGTTCACTCTGTTTAAAAATTTGTATTCCATACAAACTTGATTAAGATTCAAAAATTAAAAATTAATTGGATTGCTTATTTTAGTTATAATTATAGTCTTTGTATTGCTAATTCTATCCAATATTTCACTTGTAACACTTCTCTGAAAATATGTATCAAGAACACAGGAAAAAAAGTTTATTATTTTTATGTCAATCATAAAATCAAAATTTATTTTATGTCAATCATTAAATTAAAATTTGTAAGTAAAAATCATCAGAAATATGCATCTCTAGGTTATATTCCGTTTCAAATCAGTAAAAATTCAGCATTATGAAGAAAAAATATGGAACTTAAGGCGTAGAAAAGCTTGGGGTAATAAGACTTTCCAATTTTTAACCCGCTTTTTAAAGTATATGTTTAATTTCAGTGGGGTCTCTTGGATCTTAATCCATTCATCACAAATGTTGAAAAGTCATAAATTCTAAAAATTGCTAAAATGAGTATGACAGACATGCTAGTTAAGGCAAAAGTTGAGTTTCAAAGAAACTGGAACGAGAACAGGGCAGTCCCTGCAAAACTATCAGATTTCGAATTAATAAGAACAGTTGGCCAAGGAGGATTTGGAAGAGTAATCATAGTTAGACAAAAAACTACTGATAACTATTTTGTCATTAAGTTAATGTGTAAGATAAAAATTGTGAAATTAAATCAAGTCGCACATACATTGAATGAGAAACGAGTCTTGCAATCAACAAATTTCAAATTTATCGTAAAACTCTTTTATTCCTTTAAGGATAATTCAAATTTATACTTGGTACAGGAATATGTACCTGGTGGTGAGCTCTTTCGACAACTACGCAAACTAAGGAGATTTAGCGAAGATATGACTAGATTTTACTCTTCTCAAGTTATACTTGCAATCGAATATTTACATTTCATGGATGTAGTTTACAGAGACGTGAAACCAGAGAATATTGTACTTGATGCATATGGTTTTGTTAAGTTGACTGATTTTGGTTTTGCCAAATATACAAAACGACGCACTTATACGTTATGTGGTACACCCGAATATTTGGCTCCTGAAATATTACAAGCGCGAGGGTATGGGAAAGCAGTTGATTGGTGGTCGATAGGTGTTTTTATATATGAATTAATTGCAGGGTTCACCCCCTTTTATGCCCCAGAACATCTGGACATATATGCACGTATCTTATCTGGTAAAATAGAGTTCAATTCTCATTTTAGTCAAGGATTAGAAGATCTATTAATTAACCTTTTACAAATTGATATAACTAAACGTTTTGGAAATCAGAAAAATGGGGTTCGTGATATTAAACATCATTTTTGGTTTAATTCATTAAATTGGTCGGATATATATGAACAGAAAGTAAAACCACCATATATTCCCATATTCACAGCACCTAATGATACAAGAAATTTTGAACTTGGTGAGGAACATCCAATACGTATTACCCAAGATGAATTATTCCCAAAAGAATTCGAAGATTTTTAATGTTGGAAATATATATTTAAGATTAGTGAATATAACTATTTGTATAATAAAATTATGAAGAAGAGCAGTACTTTCAACAGGATTTATTAAACACAATGAAAAAATCGGTATTAATTCTGAAAACTTGTACGTTAAGTATTTTTTAATATATGGCAGATTTCGATTTTAGACATATGTGCAATCCCGTCGATTGAAATTTACTTCGGGTTGGATGTCAATTTTCAAATCATTTGAGATCATTTCAACAAAATTTGTATCTTGTTAAGCAAACATAATGCACTAAAAATCAATACACATGTGTAAAAATAAGGTCCTATCATTTATTTCAGAGATAAACATTCAGTCCATTAGTTTTAAAACAAATTATACCAAATAAAACAAGTATCAATTCATTATTTCCAATGATTTTTTAACTGGAGTTTCAAATATCAGTAAAGAAAGTGTCTATAAGTAAGTAAGTGTTTATATTTTTATTATATCAAGAAAATTTGATAGTAATATCGAGTACTAATGGGTCTTAAAAGTTGCTGATAAGTAGAAGAATAATTATAAAAAACTATAATATTATTTTTTTTTATTATTTTTTATTGTTTCCTTTAAATAAATTTCACTTTGCGATTTTAGTTTAGCAAAAAGTAAAAAAATGCTATTTATTATTTAGTATTTTAAAATTTTTCACTGGGAAAGCCTTATCATCACTTATACTGGAAAAGCGCACCATCAAATGGAGCCCAGTAAGGAAGGATAAATCTTTTATTATTATTTGCACTGTGTTCATTCTATAACCTATACTTTTTGATAAAAATACTTTAAAAAATATGTAGACACTTCAATATTGCTAAGTACATATTAAACTGAAATAAATAGCGAACTATGTCGGGTTGAAATAAGGTTTAGTACTACAGATCGTTCTTTTAGTATTCGCTCGAATTTATAATGCATAAGCATTGAAACTACTTTATAGTTACAGCTAATACTTACGGATTACTTTGAAAAGAAGTCAATAACAAATATTATAAGGTGTGTATTTGGTTAATTGTTCTTCCACCAAGAAAATGCATCACTTTTTAAGTCGATTACGACAATAGCAAATCTGTATGAATTGCACTTTGAATTTGATTTACATGCACTACATATTTTGGATCTGACTTCCAGTGTATATCACTTTATTGTATATGTAAAAAGATTTTTGGTGGAACAGAGATACGCCTTCAATGAAAAAGTGATTACTGAAATTGGACCTTATTTTAAAATCAAAAGAAAACCTGTAAATAAGGTATCGAAATTGTTATGTATATAAATTGTATTTAAATTAAATATCATGAATATTATGTATTGTTTATATTAAGAACAGGAAACTCATATATAACCAAATAATTCGTCCGTCACTTCTATATGGTTGTGTAGCGTTCAGCAAAGCTTCAAACACTGCACCAGGCTCTAAGAAGACTTTTCAAAGTTCCATGGTACATTAGGACGAATGACATACTCAGAGACATCAAAATTGATCCCATCAAAAAATACATAAAGGATAGAGCCCTGAAATTATTTGCGAAAACTGACAGACTTAAAGTTAGTTCTATGCAGACTTCATTAGAAGTAACAGAAATGTTAGAAAAACGTTGAAATTGATCCCAAGTGTGATCAAAGTCTATATTGCGAAATGAAGACAAATTTTGACAAAAAGCTTTTATTATATTACTAATTTACTTTACGTTTAGTTTTAATCAAAATATTTTGTGAATGAATAGCAAACCCTTCTTTAGTGCGGATCTATCAATCGATGACGTTGACATTAGCTCTATTTTTTTCTTTCATAGTTGTAGAAAAAGAACGTTAAGTCTGGTTGAAACATATTGGCATCACTTTTAAAATATGTCAAATGATTTTTTTTGGCATATATTTTTTGTTGTGTTGTTTACACTGAAAATTACTTAATTGAAAGCTTAATTGAAGAATTTTTATTCTTATTGTTTTGATATATTGCAATTTGTTATTATTTCTGCTGATACAATTTTGATGGATGATTGGAATTTTGCAGCATATTTTCAGCGAACATTCACAATAGACTGATTTTTGAGTTTGGCTGCACTGAAACTTAAGATGTAAAACTTAAGATGTTGCTTAAGGTGCTTCACATGTTTTATTTTAATAGTTGTGGGTATATTTTTGCAACTCTGAATGAAAAAGTACGAATAATAGCGTATTGTCGAAGAATGGAAAAAAAATATAATTGGAAATAATATTATTCTTTAATTATTACATGCAATTTTTCAAGAAGAATAATTGAATTATTTTTAATTATTTATTAACTGTAAATATTACAAAATATGGAATAATAAATTCAATGAAAAAATTGTTCACATTTTATAATAATTCATTATTGTATGTAACCAAAATATTATTAACTCTGAAGTAACTTTTGTAGGATTAAACCTACTTAATATTTTATTTATGAATGTAACAAATTAACAAAACTTAAGATGGATCCGATCAAAAAATACGTAAACCATAGAGCCCTGAAATTATTTATGAAAACTGTCAGGCTTACCAATATCGCGTTATCGAATCTCAGAATGGTTACAGTCTCCTCGGGGAGGTATGCAGATCTGAGGTCAATTATTGCTTAGTCTGATGAAGTGCTAAACAATAATTTAGTCAAGGCGTAGAGAGGGGCTATGAAAAAACCTCGCAGTTAGTAGAGTGTAAAAGTGCTCAAGTTCACTGACTCAACTAGCCTCAACATAATAATAAAAAAAATTCAATCAGCAGTTTATAATCTTCTTAAAAAGTTTTGCATTTTAATTTTTTTTATATATTTTGATAGATTACCTACTACTATAAGGATTATTTATTCTAATGTCTACGCTCTGTGTACAATGAGTTCCTTCCAAGTGACCACTATTCGTTGAGTTGATTCAAAATATTTGTTAATTATGGTTCGAGTACCACATGTGCACGTGTTTCTTAATATAATTGTTGTTATTGTACGCAACAATGAAAAAAAATCGGAACGAAAACATGTGAGGATTCTGCGCCTAACCGGTACAACCACGTGTTGCTTGCCACAATGTCAACAACATCAGCAACGTAAACAAACCGGCGCGGCGTGTACTTAACATGCCAAACTCAGTCTGCAAAGCGCAAACTGACACGAAAGCTTTTCGCTTGCTCTGTAAAGTGTTTCCGCCTGCAAACGTCAAAGCTTTTCCAAAAACACATCAACACATCAGAACGCAGAACACGGTCGGAAAAGTGATTAAATTTTGCCAAAGAAAATTTGCTTTCAGTGATTTGCAAGGTGTCCGCGTGTTCAGTTCACTACAGCTGTGCCGCTGCTGCCATGCCCACATAAAAACTAACACGGAAAAATTGTACATTTTCACAAACGAAAAATTAAAATAAGTTTTTGGAATTTTTGGAAAAATTATATTGAAACCTCTGTGAAGGCGTATGAATTATTAAAAAACAGTTGTGAACTAACGGAGCGCTGGGAATGCGTAAATGCGTGAATGCGTGAGTGCGTGCGTGCGTAAAAACGTTTGTTGAAAAAGTCTTTCGCGCAATTTAATCACCGAAATTGGCGTTTGTTTGCGGTTCCACATTTATTTGCCTGCACGCTTCCCGAAATCACTGCCATTCCGTATGCAATTGATTGGAAAATTATTTTACTGGATGCACAAATGTGCGTAAGTGCTGGAGGAGGCGTGCCAGCTGTACTGTTCGCATTAGTGCCATTATAATTACCCACTCGCAGCACTTGTTTACTTATTAATTAGTAATTCATTTAGTGATTTAATTATTCTTGTTGCTTTCTGTTAATGTTAATGTGTTCTCGTGCATTTTTAGAGCTCATTAAATACGCAATACCTTTCCGTTATGTCAATTATCGGTGCTTAGATATGTCAGAAAGTACATAAAATATTGAAATTAGTTGCGATGCTGAATGAAAACATTGATTGTGTTACGCAAAATTTCGATACGAACCCAATCAATTTAATGAAACAACCACATCGCGGCCAATCCGAACAAGATCAGCAAACCATAAATAAAGATCTGCTGAGTGCGTCTCTGAACTCGCCAGTGCTAAGAAAAAGTGCCGAAAATTTGAGTTGGAAATTTCTTGAACAAGTTTCGAATTTAGACAGTCAATTACGTGATTATGAGGTAAGCAAAATTCTCTTACAATCACACAAAATATTTAAATAAATTTCTATTGTTATTAAACACATGAGGAATTGTGTTTTCATACCCGATGTCTGTGTTCCCTCAATATTACAAACCCTTCAAAATGATTTATTTATTGAAATAATTATATAAGACATTTATTTAAAAGCTTTTTTTACAAGTGAAAAATTAATTAATAAAATTTGACAGCATTTCATTTCAAAACTAAATTTGCATTTAAAACTATGGCAAGATTGTTTATTAAATTTATGGTATTATTTAAGATTACATATAAAGAGTACTTCAGGGACGAACTGCATTCATTCAGTTCAAATTATATCGAATTTATTGCTATTAAATATCTTTTTAATTGAACACTTCGAAATTTGTTGTAATATCAATAAATTATTATTTATATGAATTTTTAATAATATTTTAAATTTATTTTTAATTATTTTTAATAATAAATTTAATCATAAATAATAATAAAATAATAATAAATAAATAAAAATAAATAATAAAGTTAATAATAAATTTATTTTTATTAATTTATTAATTATTATAAATTATTTTAAATTGAATTCTAACTTCCGTTTTGGCGAAAGAAACTAAATTCTAAATATAAACTTTAGTTTTTATTATAGTGGTATTTCGAAAAGCATTAAATCACAATATTAAAATTTTATTATTAATTAATAAATTAAATTTTGGCTGTTTCGATTATTGCCAAATACCCATCATCAGTGGTCTTGAAATTATGTCTTATATTGAATTATTCTTAAGAATATTTTTTTTGGGACTTCAAAAACTAAGAAGCAAACTTGTACCCTGCCAAATTTGAAGCGTAGAGTCAGCGCTCCTTAACCAACTGACCCAAAGGCTTTTATGTCCGCACTTTTTTCTGTAGTTTTATTAATTGGCTGTGAAAGTTCAGTAACAAATTCACTTGATATGTTATACTCGAACAAAATCATTAACCAGCTGTAGAATAATTCTTTTAAATAATTAAATTTACATTTTGAATTATTTAATTTCAATATATAATTTTATATTTATATATATTTATTTATATATATTATATATGTTTTGTAGAGGTACTATTTTTTTCATAATTGTATTAATTAAAAGTTATATTCAATTTATTATATTATTATATATACATTTATTATTATTATTTAATTTTAATTTTTATTAAATTTTAAATGATTTTAAAATAGTTTACTATGTATATTTTACTTGTCATAAAATATACTATATATATTATATATATTTTATGTATTTTCAATAACTTTTATTATTTTATTTTTGTTCATTATATACATTCTATGGTATTAATTAATAAAATATATTAAATACATTTTATTTAATATTACACATACATATTTTTTTTTTATTATATTTTCATGGTTTAATGATCAATATTTTATATATTTATTATTATACTTATTATTTTATTTTTGAAACGCAAAATACAGAACTTTTTAAATTATATTAACAAATAATATTTTACTTTCACCAACATTTCGACTAGAGTCTATACACCGAAGTACCCTGAAGACGACTATAGGCTATTATCGAAATATTGGTAAAATTAAAATTTAATTCTTAAAAATAATTTAAAAAGTTGTGCACTTTTTGAATATATTTTTATATTCTTAATATTTCAACTATTTTGTATTTTGTTCTATTTTAAAAATGTCTTTAGTTATTTAAAAAATGCAAAATCATGTAAGTGAAATAGCTCAAGAAGATTTAACTAAGATTTATTAAAAATTCGAGTTTAGCCTTTAAAAAATGGGTAATATAATGTCAAATAACTGCAATTATTTTAATTAATGTTAATTAAAAACATTTAAAGTCGTAATGTCAAGAATAATAAATTTATAATATATTAAAATAATTTAAATAATTTTTTAAAAATATTTAAATAAATTATAAAAAAATCAATGCAGTTAATTGTTATTAAAAATTGTACATATATTTAAATGACTACAAACATATTTCGATATGCTTAAATATCATAAAGAGATAATAACATAAATTTAAATAAAATAAATGAATTGCAAAATTTAATTCGCAATTGTCGAAATTATATGAGTCAAGATATTTGTAAGAGGATTAAATTTTTATATGTATTTTATAAACAGGTGATAAATAAAAGTCCTTTAAAACTTATTAAACTACATATTAAGTAAATTGTACAATAAATACAAAAAATGGCATTGGCTTTACCGAATTTTCAGTACTCTTGACATTTTCAATACTCTTAAATTTATTAACAACATCAAAAAATTTCTATTGTTCTAAAATACATTTTATTAAAAAAAAATATAAAAATAGTTTTAATTTATTTTTCACAATTTTCTTATATATTAATTTAAAGTTAGTTGTGACAGTATTAACTATTTTATTTAATAGAAACTATTTTATTTGTAAAAGAGGTTTTGAAAACTAGTGAAGTACAACAACAACAACAACAACTTTTTTTAATTATTTAATTGATTGAAAGTTTGGCTGACCAATACACTTGTTTCGAGTATTACCCATCAATGGTCTTGGAATTATTTCTTATATTTAATTATTCCTAAATAATTTTTTAAGACTGCAAGTATTAAGAGATTAACTCGTGTCCTGCCAAATTTGAAGCTTAGAGTCAGCGTTCGCTAGCCAGCTGATCTAAAGCCGTACTTGACTTGTTTGTTCAGCCAAGTCCGTCACTGCAGAAGTTGTGGAAACCCACAGGAGAAAAAAACGGTACCACATTTTCTCTGTGAATGCCCGAGTCCAGCGTCTAGAAGATATAGGTTCTTAGGAAAATACTTTGGTGATAGTATATCAGACTGCTCAACGGTGAAGATGAAAGACCTATTAAATTACCTAAATTCGGTGGGATGGATTTAGTCTTTACTCTTCTATACTAGGACTCTTGCGAGGAATGAGGTAGCAAAACGGCTAAAAATCGCTAATTGAGGTACATTTTAAGTTATCTTATGGCCTGCCACTGCAACCAACCAACCAGCCAAGTCCGACTTATTTATGTATAAAATAATAAATTTAATAAATCCATAAAAATATTTATATTAAATGAAACCAATTTTGTGTTGTTACGTTAAACTAAAACATTAAATATCTTAGAAAGATAGTGGGTAGGTTTCATTTACTTTTTTTTCATTTCTCATAACTATAATCTCTTATCTGATAGAATATACAAAAAGACATGATTTACTACAGTAATTAAGTTAAATATTGAAAATAAATGAATAATTTCAATTTGAATTAATCCACTTGAATTAAATATAATTAATTAGTTTAAAGTAAAAATCGGTATTAGTTCTTACATTTATTTCTTTGCTGACTTTATTTCGATTATTAATAAATAAAATTAAATGAAAAGTTAATTTTATGTATATTGACATTCATAATTGTGTATGCAAATATCTATACATTACAAAAATAATATCTGTAGTTGAACTAAAAAAACATAATAATAGTATTAGCAGTGAAAAAGTAAGATTTTGTAAAATATGCTCTATAAAACACTTCTTATAAAATATTTTTAATATTAAAAAAAAAAAATTATAGTCTCAAGCAGTCGTAAATTAATAAGCAAACCAAAAAATTATTCAATTATTTGTAGAATGAAATGGGAAATCTTCTCATTATCTTGCGATTAATCTAAATCATGAGGAGGTCATTACTTTTCTATTGAGTTGGTTTCAGAGATATTAATCGAGCAAATTGTTATTATTTGATTTGATATAATGAAGCTCTATTTTCAATAAAAGATCCAATTTCTTTTAAATATATTAAATGTATTTACCTCAATTAATCTTCGATTAACAAAGATGCTTGAGTCCTTCATTATCCTTGATGATTAAAGCTGTGCATGTCCATGTGTAAATCGATACGATTCGCTAGCCACAAATAAAGTACGATCAAAAATAAAGTAAATTAAAAATAGTTATAAATTTGAATATAGTTATTATTAATATTGTAGTAATTATAGTAATAATCACGAAATAATTAATAACGCTGAAAATACTTAAAAAAAAGTACATACAAATACAATTTTATAACTATTTTGATTGTTTCGCTTAATTATTTTACAAGTTGAAATACAAAATCATAAAAATTATTAAATGCCATTAAATTAAATATTAAAATTCTGCTTATGTCCACTTTATGCGCTATCAAAAATTCCATTAAAACATTAGAATGTTTATAATACTTGAAACATTTATTTTATAAGTACAATAAAAATTTAATTTTTCAATATAAACTTTTAATTGTGCATAAAATTAAGTACAAAAATATTTATGAACTTTATTAATTTTATTTAATTTGTACTTTATTAATAACAAATGTATAGCATATATGAGAATAATTTTTCTGGTTTAATTAATATTATTTCTTGCTGATTTCCAATTTTTAATGACAATTAAAAAATACTAATTATATTTCAACTAATAAAATTTATTTATTATTAATTGATGGAGGTTATGTATTTGTAAATGAGAATATCTTTTATTTGTGATCGAAATACGCTTTTTATTTTTTATGGGGTTCAGTTAGCTTAAAAAAATATTTTATTTATAGAAATAATTAAAATCCATTTTAGTATTTATGAGAGATTTTTTAATATGAAATTGAAAATTATATACTTTGAAACGTAAAATATTTATTATACAAGAAGTAAAAAATGTTGGAAACAATTGAAGTCATTAAAGTACAAAATAAATATAATAAAAATATTAAATAAACATTTATTTATCCATTAGTATAAGAGTTTTGAAATAAAGCATATAAATAGTTTACTAGAACTCTAAGTCTTATGATTTTTTGCACTTCTTATTTCAGCTAGAATATTAATCATTATATAGAGCTCTCAAAAGCGAATTATATATTTTTAAGTTTTTTCTCGATAAATTGGTTTTGACACTAGATATATATATTTTGTTAAAATCACAAAAAATATATAATTATGTTTTTAAATTATATAT